GTGTGTTGTTTTTGTTTGCAATATCTCAGTTTCTCCCAAGTTTCATATTTTCTGAATGGAATAAATTCCTCAAGGTACAAATGACACTCCAGAGACAAAAAGAAAAGTTTATTTTACTGTCCAATTATTTTCTTGAAAAAGCTTACTTTTGATAAAATAAAACAAACTTGTAGTATCGCAGAAACCTTCTGACATGTACAAGGGCGTACTGTCACCCCGAAGAACTCTGAAGACAAGCTTCTAGCCCCAGGCGAAGGGCGGGCGCACGCCTGGCCACCCTCACGCTGCAGGGAACTGCGTGGGTGGCACTGCTGTCCTTGGCCTGGGGAAAATTTTATACAACTGAAAACTATAAATAAGACCGTCAGTGAGTTGAGAACCTTAACGGTGCTCTCTGCAGTTCAGGCCGCTGCTTCTCAGGGGCTACGTAGTAGTTAGGAGAGTTCGACAGGCAGAAGGAGACTCGTGGACATTCGAACTTGAGTAGCCTCAGGAGGGGCCTGGAGGCTCACAGTTGGTCTGTCACACGTAAGCGCTGCTCTCGCTGCGGGGAACTTGGCACCTGGCTCATACGCCGTCCTTCACCAGCTCACAGACGCCATTCTCGCCAATGATTAAAGGCGCGTGGAATTCTTTGCCGGCCACGTAACTTTCTAGTCCCTGAGAGGAGGGTTGAAATGAAACACAATTAGAAAATTGGTGGACACTTAGTGGCTGTAATAATGATTTAAAACATGAATGCCACGAGTTGGGTTGAGGTGCAGCATTTATGTCAATAATGATCTATTTATTATACTTTTTAAACTGGGCTTAATGTCCTATTAATGGCAGCATAAAACAAACAAGAAATGAAATTATCCTGATTATAATAAAATTTCTAAGGTTAAAAAGATGATACTCTTCACCAAGAACAGCTGGCTTTCTAAGCCAGGGGGCTGTCTTGGCCCTGGGCCTGAGCACAGTGACAGGGCCCTCCAGCAAGGGCACGAATGAGAAGGGGAGGCAGCCCTAGCTCCCGGGCCTGCGAAGCCAGAGGACTACGCATGTGAAAGCAAACAGACCCTTCGAGAGGAAAACTCTATTGCGCTGAAAACGGCCAGATGATTTATCTAAGAAAGCAAGGCCGTCACGTACCCTTTAAAAGCCCCTTGCGTTCCCGCATAACAAAAAATGGACCGAACAGGAAAGCGTCCCCGTGGGAACCGCCCACTACGGGGTTCTCGGGGAGCAGGGTGCAGGCCCTTCTCGGGCGGCATCCGGGAGCAGGGCCATCGGAACCGCCCCCTCTGCTGCTCCTGCACTTAAATGCCCATGGGCACCTGAACTCCATTCTAGAACAGGAGGGAGAGGCAGAGCGCACTCACCTCTCCGGCGTAGGAGACGAGAGGGGAGATCTCGCACTGGATAGGGACGTCGTGGGCATCCTTCAAGCTGAGGGAAACCGAACGTGTTAGACACTCGCGTCCCACCCCCTGCCAGAGTGCCTCGGAGAGGCCTGCGATAAGGAGACGCTCCTGCGTCACAGCCCTGGTGATCTCTGACCTCCCGGGGGCCACGGCACCGTGGAACCGTCAGGGACAGAAGGACCCTGTGCGGGGTGGCGCCAGCAACCAGCACCTCAGCAACCGCGAGACGCCCTGTGCACGTGTCATTTCTGTCGTTTCCAAGTTTTAATCTGATGAAGAGGGAACTATTTACTGAATGCGTGCTACGTTCCAGGTACGTGGCAGGTCCTTCGAAGCCTTCCCATTTCATTTTAACCCTTGCCACAGCCTGAGAGTCAGGTTCCACTGCGGACAGACATGCTGAGGCCTCAAAGCCCAATACAGTGGCCACTGGCCACATGTGGCCGCTCGAACTTAAATTAATAAATAAAAAGTTTAATTATAACTTTCAAATTCACTTTCTCAGTCATAACCACATTTCAAGTGCTCCGCAGCCATGCCGCTGACGAGCAAGCCACAAGCAGACAGCGGTTCCTTCACTGTGGGAAGCGTCGCTGGACAGCCCTGTCCAGGAGCCGGTGAGCCGTCCCCAGCCCTGCGCTTCCCTGTGCCCCCTGAGCCCCTAGATGAGCTGAGCTGATGGACTCTGTTTCCAAGTGCTTCTTCGTCACCCTCACCAAAGCCCTTTGAAGAGCTCAAGCAAGACGCAGCCAGGCAAAGGCCTGGCCCGGCCACCCTGTGCCTCCTCTAGGCACGCTCGCCATCATGGCCTGTTGCCATCCTGCGTTTCTAAATTACCTAACACAAAAGTCAGTAAGGCATGTTTAAAACGCATTTAGAGGCGTCAGAGCGTGGAGTTTTTCACCATTTCAACAATTGGGCAACAGGAACGCGGCCCAGCCTCAGAGCCCAGCTCTCCTTTGCTCTCCTCTGTGGTCAGCCTGAGGGCTGACCATCCTGCTGAGGGCCCCTGAGCGTAGCCCGGTCTTCCTCTGAACGGAACTGTCTAGCCAGCATTCAGGGTGCTCTGCGTCCACTCCCACTGCTCGCCCTGCCGCCTCCACCCACCTCATTCTCCATGAGGCCCCTTCGACCAGCCGCATCATGCCCGTCCGCCAAGTTCAGGTCAAGCCCCAGCCTTCCCTCGACTGCTGCTTCACAGTGACTGTCCTCACTCACATCTTCACACAGAAGACAATAAAGTTATGAGGCATCTGCTGAGTCACTGCCTCCTAGGGTAATTATTATTCACACCACACATCCAACACGCAAACACGCACTGCCTGATGATGTGATGTAACGTTTATGTCTGTGCATCGTGAACCTCCCGACAGGCTGTGAGAAATGACATTTCTCTCGTGTAAGCTGCTCAGCACCGGGCATATGAGCAGCACCCATAGGTATGTGAGGGTGGGCGCACACAGACTGATCTGGAGAACAGGTGTACTACAAGCCAGGACGCACCTCTCTCCCCGTGTTCATCAGGTTCCATCGAGAGAGCTCCAGAGGTATGGCCCAGACCCTTCCGGGCAGCTCAGTCATACTAAACCAGACGGACTGAAGCCAATGTCGCTGGTAAGGTGTACAGAGCCCACCCCGCCCACCGCACCCCGCCAAGCCCCGCGGGGCTGGAGTGCCGGGACGAGAACACACCGCTGGCCCGAATATAACTTTCCCCTGTACCACAAAGACACCCAAAAAAACTAAGAAAATCGGCTTTAAGAAACAAAGCTGGATGCCCTGGAGGACAAAAGAGAGATGCGACGGTCGCCCAACGCGAGGTCTCAGGAGACGGGCGCGTCAGCCCGAGACCAGCACTGCCCCGTCTCCAGCCACACGCACTTTCGGTAGCTAGCACTGCTCAGTAAGTGAAAAACAAAAGCAATGTCATTCTGTCCAAATCCAGCACGCTTGCTCCCATTCCTTCAGGACACCTGCAAGCCACTGCTCCCCTCCTCCACCTCTCCCACCTCCCACCTCTGCTCTCCGAGGACATCCTCTAGGGTTTCTAAGTTCGTATCTCATTTGAGGACAAACTGTGATTTCAGTTTAATTATTCTACAAACGGCTAAAATGAAGTAAATAGGGAGAAAAGTACTAAAAGGAGCTGAACAAGAACCAACTGTTTAAAACTTCTATTTCTTATGGGAGATGGCTAGAAGTTGTTTTCAGGTGTCTAATAAGAAACTTTCACCTTTTAGGTTAAAAACTGTGGTTCAATGAGAAGGAAATTTATGGTAAAAACTTTATGTCTTAAATTATAAAAGCGGCTTGCTTTCACGTATTCAAAATGATGGCTGGGACAGAAAATGGCAAAGGGCTCTGCATCCCGGTCCCCACAGCATGAGGGGCGGCAGTCGTCTACAGCTCCCACGAGGAGAGCCAGCCAGATCCGGGAGTCCCCTCCCTGTTGCTCGGGGCCACATCCCAGAACCACTGACAGTCACAGGGACGTGTCTGTACAGGGCAAAGATGGATGGCACAGGCAGGAAAAAAAAAACAGATAAAATGACACTGGTGCTATGCCGTTCCTGAAGTAACTCCCACCTCCAGACCCTCCACCCTCTGTATTCCCCAAGTTATCTTAAACGCCTAAGAGTAAAGCTAAACCTACTAGCATTAAAGTGTAACGAATATGAAGCTGTCTCCTTCGCCGTAAAGACAATGGCTTTTTTCAAACCCTGTTAGCACCTAGATGGCAGAGGGCACGTGCTACCTCCAGCTAAAAATTATCTGACATTAAGACAGAATGTCTTTAGGAGCAGGACAACTGCCTATGAGTAACACAGAGACCAAAAGGGAGGCTGCTAGCATGAGAACAGATCCCACGAGCAGCTTCCTCGCCTTCGGAGCCATCAGTGTGTCTGAAGCGGGCGGCCTCTGTGCCGAGGGGGACATCCAGCTCTGAAGGCACATCCGCAGAGCATCATTTCTACCTGCCGTGCTTACGCTAAGGGGGTGAGCTGGGATCCAAATCTGCTCTCCTGGCCTGTAACCTGCTCTAGGTCTTACCTGTCACTTGTGATGTGTCATTGCAGGCTCAGACACCTGTGGTTGGATTCTTAGTAAGGCATGCTCCCCAATTCCAGCATGCACCGAGACTCTGAGTTAGTGTCATCCAGACAGACACCTGCCACCAGATAAGCAGTAGAGCGCCCCGCCCAAAGCTTCGACCATCCACCGCAGACCCCGACAGGCAGAGCGCTAAACGACAGCACCAGTTAGTACAGGGAGCGCCGCCCGCCACCACGCCCCGCAGGCAGGCTGGGTAGTTACTTGTGATTGGCATCGGCTGTGACGGTCTCCGCCCTTCCATTTGCAGCACTGCTACGCAGGAATAAATAAGCGTTAACGGGAATGAAAAACAAAATCCAAAACAGTAAGAAAGAAGAGGAACTGCAAAATATACTTGTCTGAAAGGCACGTATTTATGGCAAATTATAAACCCGGCAAAGAAAATCTGAAGGGTTAAGAAACAAACTCAATGGCCAGAGATGAAGCATGAGGACAACGTGTCACGCCATAGAGCAAGCTGGATGGCAAGACAGCCTGAAAGAGGCCCGGACTCTGAGACAGCTTGCCAGGGCCCCTCCTTGTGGAGACGCGGCACAGACCGGTAGGTTCCGGTGGCCGGTGCAGGCGCCCGGTGCTCTGACACCCCTCCGGGCACTCCTGCGCATGCGTGCCACAGCCAGCCCCTTTATCCCGTAAGAATACAAATTACACGGCAGAGTGTTCTTTATATAAGCACAGAAACGTCAAATGATTTAGAAGGGGGGAATTCTAAGTGCCAGTGGAGATTTCATCATAAAATATAAGATTAAGCTTTAAAGAGCTTTATCTCAGATTTCAATAGCTATCAGTACCTTTTTATTTTTTTAGCGTCTAAATTCCCAAAACATTTCCGAAGTTTTAGTGTCAGTAAACACGACTGGCATTCATTTCTCTTCCCGGCACCTCCCTCAGTGGCCTGAATGCCATGGAAGATGCGGTGCCCTGTGTCTCGCAGACGGTGTGCGGGCAGTGGCACTTTGGGGATCTCCCAGAGAACCCTTGTAGGGAGGCCCCTGACACACAGCCAGCAACGCCCCACCCTCTCGCCCCGAGGTCTGGCACACTTCTGGCGGGCTTGAACCCGAAGGCACACCAAAGCAATGGCCTGCCGACTGTGCCTCAGTAGGGGGCTTTTGGTGACACGCTGCGGACGCCTCCAGAGAAACAAGAGCTTAGAAGACTCCCCTGTAAGAGGAGGCAAAGCCAGCACTCTTCGTAACGGGCAGAGCTATCTTCGGCTCACCCAGGGACTGGCCACGCCGATGCCGGGGCTGGGGGCACAGCAGAGAGAGCAGAACGGAGTCGGAGAGGACAGGCCGGGACACGGCCCCCTGGGGACAAAGGCACCGGCTTACCAGGGAATCGCGGGCAGGCGGGAGCCATTTCCGTCTACGAAGTGGCCCCCCGCGTTGAGCACCCAGCGGTGGTGAAGGGACAGCAGAGCGTGCCTGGCCGTGGTGGGGTTGTCCTTGCCACTGTGACTGTCCGCGTTCTTGAGTGGGGAGAACTCGTCTTCCCGTAACACCTCATACACCACGAACTTCCTAGAGGGAACCGGATGGACGCTTTATTCGCCACCAAGTGACACTGCGCTCACCTATGGCTAACTGGTCTTCTGCTCTCTCACGGCAGTCGAGTTCTGAGACACACACCTCAACACCAAGCGCGAACCCCGGGAGAGCTACGCCATGGCACGCGGCCCTGCAGGGCATCCCCAGCTCAAGGCCACTCTCTGCCGAGCCTCTCTAGCCTCTCGGCCAGAACAAGTGACTTTACTGGCTCCACAGGAGAGCCAGGTAAGGGACTGACTGATACAGACGAACGTGCTCATAGGCAGCTCAGCACACTGCTGGGCGGGTGGCCTCACGCTGGAGAGGCAGGGATCCAGGCCACACGCTCGCCACCCACACGCCGCAGCTGACAAGGTCTCCTGGGAACAGAGCCCAGCCGAGGGCAAAGCGCAGCATTTCGGGGCACGTCCAGGCTCCCCGGCACTGCGCGAACGTACTTTGCAAACTGGAAGATGTCGAAGACGAACTTTTCCATCTTTATTCCATTTGGTTTGTCTGGCTTAATTAACTGCCCCTGGGGATCCACAAATGGAATCTTCTTTTGAGCCACATGGTGCTGCAACTGAGGTTCATAAACACTAAGAGAGGAAGAAAGACAATCACTCTCCAAACGCAGAACGCCAGCAAGCCTGACAGCTGGCTCGACGGCCGGGACTGACGGTCAAGGTCGGGCATTCGCTACGTTTTAGTTCCTACTAAATGGTAAATGGACAGATTTCCCTATTCATCTCCTTATGTTAAAAACAATAAAGCTCTCCACGTTAAAATACACACGCAGCTCACGCCACTGTCTCCTCCTAAGTCCCATGTCCGCTCTTCGCCCCAGCCTGCCCAGCTGCGACCTCTTTAAGGATGGGATGGAAAGATGAGTATTAACAGTGACGGTGGGTGACCGAACGCAGCTGAAACAGCACAGATGGACGGGAACTACTTTGGAACCGGAGTCGCCATTCTAAAGCAAAGCCAAGCAACTTTAGCAGGCATCTGGAATGCCTAGAAGCTGCCGAGCGGAGCGTTAGTAGTGAGAAGGCGCCACTTCGCGGTCCGTGGGATAGACAGCTCCGACTGCACCCGGTGGCACTACCATGCTGGCCTCCAGCCGGGTCTCAGCTCTTTCCCCTTCACTCCCTAACACACGAGTCCCCAGAGGCTCGGCGGGAACCAGCTAAAGTAAATCGTGTGAGCGGCTTCTTAAAAGTACAGATGCCGGACACCCGCCTCCAGGAATTCTGATTCAGCAGGTGGCGGGGAGACACCTGTACCTTAAGGTCTGCAGCTGTGGCAGAGAGAGCGTTCCACTCCTCTGCTTCACGGGAACCAGCACAGCTGGCGGAGGGGGCGGGGACGCCCTGTGGCCCCCACACAGGCCATCGGCCGCTCCGGGTCTGCAGGCTGCGCAGTCTCGTACCCAGGACCGTGCCGCAGGGGCAAAGGCGACCCCAGGAAAGAGGGGCCGCCCCACAGGGTCTCCCTGCTTTCTGCCGACCGCCTCTGTGACTGAGCAAGTGCGAGCGCAGAGCCGCGCCGGCCATACCTGACCACGTCTCTCAGGAACCGCACGGTGAAGAAGTGGTTGGCGATGTTGCCCGCGCTGAACAGCAGCCGCCCGTCGGGGCCCCGCCGCTGCGCGGTGGCCAGGGAGATCTCGCTGTACTCCACCACGCGGTACACGCCGTCCACCCGGCACACCACGCCCACCGGCTCCGTGGGGTTCGTCTTCTCCACCACCTGCCGGCAGAGACAGGGACAGGAGGGGAGGGGCCTGAAGCGCTGTGGTTTCCAGAGACTGCGCTCGCGCTTCTTTAAGGTATCAAGAGGCATCCTTAACTTTAGACAGTCACCTAGCCATCCTTATACTCTCTGAAATACCACTTTCCAACTGGAAACGCCGTGAATTGCCTCCTTCCTGGATATCACCTAACTCCACAGTGGAGAAAAGTCCATCAGACACAGACAGGCCGGAGGAATCGCCTGGACTGGGAATAATGAAAAGAGGAGTCGACGTCCCCCGGCGTCCTCTTTTCATTATTTAACGTGTCCTTAGCCGCACTCAACCACTCGGAGAAGACACGAGATGGGATTCCTCTGGGAGGCACAGGACAGAAAAGTAGGCATCTAGCCTTTCACTTTATATTGCCCAAACCGTTATTTCATTTGAAAATAACATTTCTTCATTTTCGTTCATGAATGCAGCATACTCCTTGTTTTTCACGGACTTGGCTGGAGTGATGGGTTAGAGAAGGCAGGTCACTGCCCGCCCCCTTCAGACAGAAAAACCCACCCATATTTATCTGCTTTCGATGCTAGATTTTGTTCGGAGTAAGAGATTCTATGCTTTTAAAAAGTTTGAAAACCAGCATTTGATCATCTGTCAGTGGATCTGGCTGGTGGGGGAGCTGAAAAGTACACATCAGAGGGAAACGTGAGAGCGTTCAATTTTATAAAAACCTCATGGGTGCTTCTGGTACCCACCACCCGGGTTCCACACAACTCGCCTAAATTGTTTAGAAGAAAATGAGAAAAGAACGGTATTCAATGCACCAACATAAAGTCAAGGTGCAGTTGAGATGAATGTCCAACAGAAGAACCGAGTGGTAAAACTATCTGAAGAGTCTGTTTCGTTTGCCCTGTTCAAGCAACAGTGCAGCACACTCCAGGGCATTTTGAAAAATCTGTCCCCAACTGAAGTCTATCCTAAGCACATGTGAAATCATATCAATAAAGTTAAAACTTTTTTCAGCAACCGGTTCCTTAAAACAAACACAGCCAGCAGCATCTCTTGCAGACAGCCGAAGCCACCACGGAGAACTTGGTTTACACAGCAATGAGAGCACAGGCCCGGAGTCCCGCCCAGCGACACGTCAGCCTGCTGTGCAGTTTCACTGTGTGCCCCCTGAAAGGAGCACAGTGTTCGATGAAAAGAAACTGTTTACCAAGGAGGGGGCGTGCCATCGGAGGGGAACACGGCACGGCAAAACGACCTAAGCGAACAACTCCAGTCCATCGATGCGCTTCGCACACTTTGCCCTGGGGGTCTCACTACGCAGGGAATTTGGGGTCAATTCCTCTCGTCCCCAATGAAAACACACACACACACACACACAGGTTTCCTCTCCAGTCACCTCTATACGCCCTCCTCCCGACCAGCCGGGGAAAACCGAAATCAGTATGTCCCCACTGTCCCTCCCCTGAGTGCAAACCTGCTGGCCGAGGGTTTACTTCCATGACGACTAACCCCAAACACTATAAAAGTCCAGATGACAAAAGAAAGCGTCTGTGTACTGCGCAGAGCTGGAAGGCTGTTTATATATGCGGAAAAGAAAAAGGTTTGCTCTGCGTCCCACAAGTTAAATCCTAGAAGTTGAGTTCAAAGTCACACTTTGACCTCAAAGTCAACTGCTTAATGAAATGACCTTTGATCCGCCACGGTCCCTGCCTGCTCAGCACTGCTCTTCTGCGGACCACTCTGCCCTTCAGCGTCTTTCGTCAGGGCTGTCGCGCCATCATAAGCACTTCATTCACCAAGACCGGAGCCTATCAGGAATGCACTGCAGAGAATTCTATCAGCACACCAAGTCACGCCCTCCCTATGTGCATGAAATACGTAAAAAATGTATTTTAATATCTTGATCTTATTGAAATAAAAAGGATGGGAGAACAGATGACATAAGTGGTTTCTAACATGTCTAAAAGTTTTAACGTATACCAGTCCAATCACAGTTCGGTTCCATCTGAGTATTTACTTATTCCTTCGCTGAGTGACGACTGCGTCACATCCCAGACACAGCGTAGGCAGGAAGACAGGCTGCATGTGTCCTGCAGGCCCCATGCACGGGCCGTGGAGGAGTCACTGGTTGTACGCGCATCTCTGTGTGACCGGCACACTCACAAAGGTCACCGTGCCCATGCAAGGTTTTCTGAGCTGCCAGCAAAACCACGGCACTGCCAAGAGGCTGGTTTATGAGGCGATACGACACTGGCTTGGAGCTGGAAACATGGGTTCTGATCCTCTCTGCTACGGGGGTGAAGGGCCTCCAGCCCGGAACCGGTTTAGGGCTGGGCTCACGTGCTCATTTCTGAAGCCAAGGGGTTGACCGGGTAACCTCTGAGGTCCCTTCCAGGCTTAAGTCTCTGATCATACATAATTTAAAATGATTCTGAAGCTCAGAACTGTAAGGTGCTAACGGTGCCGTGTACGCAGTTTTGTATTTCTTGTTCTCTTACTTAACCCACTGAAATTATTTCTTTGTCACTTAATATCCCCAAACAACCCATTTAATACTATGTAAGACTGTTACAGTGAAACTCTACTTCAGTGAAACGAAATTTAAGTTTCTGTGTTCGAAAAAAAGAGTGACACCAAGTAGAACAAAGTCAGAAATAGTTTTGTTTTGCTTTGTTTTTAAACCTTAGTCGCTACTTACAATGCTATCCGTTTTGATTACGTTTGGCAGCTGTTCACAAGACAGTGCTGAAGCTCCTAGAGGAACACACAGAGGCCTAAAACAGATGAACTAAACCAACTCAGGAGGAGTCCTATTATGTCTACCAGCTTAATCTCTCAAATCTTGTACTGATAAATTTAAGAGTTCAGCTTCTATGACAGACGGATAAATTTTGAGAGTAATGAAATATTTATAATAGAAAATCTCCACCCAAGAATTTGGTATGTCTCTTATGGCAGGTCTTCTTTTTAAATCCGGAAATTTCAGATTTACATATAGTCTAATTTGTTTTTGTCAGACACTTGTATGGTTTTTGCTTTTGTCAGAAAACTTCTCTTCCTGTCAATATTACAAAATTATTCTACATTGTCTTCTAATATCTCTGTGGTTTTTTAACATTTAACTCTGCAATCCATTTGAAACTGGTTCTGGAATGAGTTTTGAGGGCGAGATCTTACTTTATTTCTAAGCGGGTATCTCATTCACTGCCCCAGTGACTGGAAATGCCACATTCTTATTCAGTACATTCTTATATACAAGAATTTGTTCCCGACTGATCCGCTGTCCCATTAATCTGTCATTCTACTCCGGGGTCAGCACTACACTCTTATTACTTTTTATTTACAATCCATCTTAATATGACAGATTTTCTCCAACCTTCTTCCCTCCTTATTATAATTCTTTTTCAACATTTTCCTGGCCATCTTTACATGTTTATGTTAAACTTTAGAATCATTCTGTCCCCAAGTGTCCCCAAGAGTGTCCTTGGGACTCTGATCAGGATTGTGTTATACTTTAATTTGGTGAGAATCAATACCTTTATAGATTTTTATGAGAGCAAAATTTATGTTAATATTTTTAAACCATCTGTGTTTTTAAGGTCTTTCACGTTTCTTGTCGACTTGATTCCTGGGTATACTACGTGTTTTGTTTGCTACCATAAAGGCCTGTCTCCTACATCATCATTCATGCAACTAAAAAAGTGTAGAAAAGAACAAAGCCAAGGATGCGACCTTGTTATATGGCACTTAATTGCGGTACGTCTGCGGTCATTCAAGCAACTACGAATCTCCTTAATTGCCGTTATCCCCCATCTGCACGTTTCTGTCTTAGTCACGAACTACCATGGGATGCCATGTCGCATGCCCCGTCCACGTCTACATCTGCCACCTCTACCGCCCCTCCTGTGCCCACACTCCAGTGACTCCGCCACAGGAAGAAAGTGGGTCACTCTGAGCAAGCAGTACTTGATATTAACAACCTGTCCCAGGCCTAGGGGTGACCACGCCCTCTCCCAGGTACCCGCAAATCGACCTCACGGATTTTAAACTCTTACTGGTGATAGACAGGCATAAAACATTACTTCTAGAATCAAATGTTGCCAATTTAAGAGAAAGAGTGGGTGCGGGGTAGTTAGTTCAGTTAGAAGGATGACTGCTTCTAAAATATTCGAAACGCCCTAATAAATCCTGGAATGCACGTGCCGACGGAGAGCGGCCACACGGCCCCAGTCCGTGAGGCCTTACCTTCGCCCCACAGTCTGCTCCCTTGTGAATGCAGAATCCGATGAACCGGGGGTCCGCCACTCTGACCAGAATGTTGTCGACGCAGTACACGTGAACACTCTCGACGCCTCTCTGCTCCATATCCTCCACGAGGTTCTGGGCCGCAAGAGCCCGGTAAAGACCACCGTTTCCATCTGGGAAGTGAAACAGCCCTTAGCAGCACACCAGACCCATGAGGAAGGAACCCCGAAGGCTCTTCAGTGTGGGCCAAGAAAACTGAATATCCGTAAGGAAACTCAGGTGTCTCGCATGACACTACGCGATTCTGAAAGCGACGCAACGTCAATGTGCAGAGAACGGCGTCTGTGAAAGACAAGTCAGGCCCGAAGCCCAAGCTCCCTCGTCAGCTGTCCTGACAGGTGGGCCTGTGATGCACTGTGACACGTGAAATTACTTCTCGAGCAATGATTCCTTCATAGCAAGTTTATTTAACCTTTGTATGATTCAAGTGGGCTCGACACTCACAGCCTGACAGACAATTTCACCCATCTAAATGCATGAGCATTTTATACCAAATAATTTGTTTAAAACCAGATTAATATGAAGGTCCATGGTGACTTAAATTGACTATAAGTAAAGCCTCTTCTTTCCACATCTATTTTCAGTACTGACTAATGTACTTCTTCCATCGACAAGCTCGACACAGCTGAAATAATGAAAAACAATTAGACGGCTTCACAAAACAGAGCTAGGAATAGTACGTTCTTCTATTAATTAAAAAGAATATTAATTAAAAAGTGGCTCTCTGGAGAGCGCCACAGCCAGCAACACTGGTTACTCCCCGTCAGCCCGTCCTCCAAGTCCTGATTCAGAGCTCTGACTCCGTGGACACGTCTGTTGTCACAGCCGGGCTCACACTTGGGGCCACCACGTGAGGCTGCCCAGGCAGAGCGGCCCGGTTCTGGACGTCACTGACAAACGCAGTGTGCACGCACCACCTGGGTCTGCGCGCGCGGCGGCCCTAACGGTGCCGTGTACGCAGTTTTGTATTTCTTGTTCTCTTACTTAACCCACTGAAATTATTTCTTTGTCACTTAATATCCCCAAACAACCCATTTAATACTATGTAAGACTGTTACAGTGAAACTCTACTTCAGCCTTATTTATGGAACCATGGACGGTCTCCATTTCTCACTGCCGTGAGCCACGGTGCCGGGAGCACCGCTGCGCATGAAACGCCGAGCAGACGGGGAGCGCCCCGCACGCTGTGCCGACTCCCCGCCAGCGCCGATGTCCGCGAAGGGGGAAAGGCGTTTCCGGTCCACCCACGGGCATTTTCATTTTTTAGATCATTAATAAATTGCAAAAAATAAATAAATAAAAATATTAATTTTTTAGCATCCAAATCACCAAATTAAAACGAAAGTCAAAATTTAATGATTTATGTTACTACCATTTCTAGTCACCATTAAATAAGCATGGTTACAAACCTGGAGCCATAGAAACCTTATTCTTCTCTTCCAAAATAATTTTCCCATCAAAACTCATGGCTGGTAGCATTCCCTGCTGAAAAAAGATCACATTCTCCTTTTTCAAACCGAAGTACTTGTGTCTGGTGAAGGATTCCTCTGTGGACTCCACTGTTCTGCCGCTCGTCATTATATACCTTGCAAGAGAAAAGCACATCTGCTAAGTGACCCAGCTGCGTGGATCAGGCAAACAAGCCTTGTCTGTCTCTCAACGGGAAGAACGTGTTCGAGGGCGCCTGAGTGCCTTCATCCTCACCCTGGAGCAGCAGCATCGGCTGCTGCCCCAGGGGACTTTCTTCCCCCACTGCACCCACCCTCACGTAGGGAACAAGTCTCTGTGACAATACGAAACACACCTCCTGCAAGAGAGCCTACAACCAGCTTATGTAAACAATTGAGAACGTTGTAAAAAGTGTATTTTAAATTAAAAATTCCTATTCTAAATAAATAAGGAGAAAAGGGTAACTGCACGATATTCTAATGAGCTCTGTGGTTCTTTTTATTAAAATTTTGAAATGGAATCTGGGCTCCGTTCACCCTTCATTTAAAATCATAAAAGCGTAATTATACTGTCTCATCACAAAAATCCAACCCATGCCAGTGTGGCAAAGGAGAAAAATATTCCATCTAAAACCACAATTAGTGACTGAAACAGCGTGCTCTCAGTAGAACGTAAACTACAAATCAGTAGGGCTTTCGTCTATTTTGGTTATTGATGTACCCGCAGCACCTACAAGCAGACACTCGGTTAGCACCTGCTGAATGAATAAACGAGGAAAATGGTATAACATCCCACCATAGTAGATACCTCTGTCTAACAAATTGTCCTGCGCATTTTGAACTTTGGGCACAAAGGCTTGGGCTGATTTAGAAGATGACAAAAGAGGTGGCTGAGCTCGTCCACCTAAGAAAAAACAGACACCCTGAGTTGTGAGGAGAGAGAAGGAAATCCAGCGTGACAGTAGGAAGCCGGGTCATCACTTAGAACACAGATGTCCCTCAAACGCCCCACAGGAATCAGGAAGAAAAGTAGTTCACAAGGAGGCAAACACTTGTGAAGAGAGCGCTAGGAAGGCTGGGAAGTTATGAAAAGCCCATTTACAGGCGTTAGTGCTACAGAAGCAACACGGGTCAGAACAAAAGCTCAGGACAGTGGCAGTCTTTCAGAGGGGACCGAGGGTATGCAGCAGCCTTGTCCTGGGGGCGTGTGCCAATCTGGGGTCCAGGCAGCGGCAGGAGCCCTGGACCAGGCAGAAGGAGAGAGAGACCAGCAGAACCTTTGGGGAGAAAATAACAAGATTCGAGACTTGAGGGATCTCACAGCCATGGCTGGTTTCCCCTCAAAACGTGCTCCCTTCCAGAGCTGCTCTGGAAGACGCGAGCTCAGAAACTTCTGAAAAGCGGAGCAGTTTCGGGAACGGCTTGGTGCACGGGAGGCGAAGGCCGGCGAGGCAGGCCCTGAGAACACGGCCCGCACGCGGACGGCCAGGTAGGCCCGAGCAGGCATGACAGTGGGGCCTTCAGCGGGGGCGAGGGTGGGGGACAAGGTAACCTGGCCCTTAAGGGTAAGAGTCCCAGACTGAGAGAACCCACCGAAAGTTGCCCCACACCATGTTGTCATGAAATGTCAGATACTAAAGACAAGAACGGACACTCAATGCTTTCAGAGAGAGAAAGAGAAAAAAAGACTAGGAATCAACGAGGCCACAATGTCTCGACCATGGTGCTGGAAATAACGGAATGATGCCGCTCAACTCCAGAAATTCAAATTTTCAATTGGAAATTCTATACACAGACAAACTAGTGGTCGGTGTGAAGTTTCTAGACGCTCAGCCTGCGGCACCCCAAAGTGCTCAGGCAGGGACAGAAACGTGGGAGTGGGTACACACTGCTTGTGAGGGCCACAGTGACCAGCTACCTAGCTAGACTGCATGACACTTTTAACGTGTACAGGAAATTACAGCTCCCAAGGACATCGGTAACAGGAAATAGGTCTGCTTATGAATAAAGGACATATGCATTTCGAGTATTTTAAGCCAATATGTGCTCAGACATTCCCTCATTGTGAGACATTTCTTACCACGGGATGGTGCACTTGTTGCCATGGTATTTTTCAGCTAACTGCTGAAGCTTCAGGATCCGCTCTGCTTGAATCTGAAAAAGTGTCTTATGAGATGGCAACCCAACATCGTACATCCCCTTGGGATACGAGACACCAAGTCTTGTCCCTTGTCCGCCAGCTAGAAGAAGAACAGCCACTTTGTTCTGAGAAATCTGGAAAAGTCCTAGAAAAGAAAACACTTGTATCACACACCACTACAATTTGACACTTTAGAGTTACACACACACAGGCAGCAGCAGTCACACTACCTGCATGAGGAATCCACATGCAATCGTGAATGACAACCTTGTTAATAAAGACATTTTTATTGTTAAAAGTTAAATTTATATAACCCAACCAAACACTAAGTAATGAATAACATACTTTAATGAACTAATAATTTTCTTTCTGATAATACTGGAAGGCAAAGACCAAGAGATGTCACAGATGTTTCATAGGTACTTGACCATTTATTAGATGTGGCAAGTTGAAGTAAAAATAGGACAAAAGAAGATATCTAGGCTTCAGGATGAGTGATGATGCTGTTAAATTACCTCCAGCCTATAAATTAATCAATAATAATTAATTAGCGGGCATGCAGAGATTCTAGGCAAGCGACCACCCAGTAGATGTAAAGAAAAAGCCCTCGGCCAGGGCGCCATGTGGCACAGTGGGCATGGACCCTTGGTCGGGATGCCAGGGCCTGAGAGCTGACCGGGCCCGGCGAGCTTCGGGGTCTGCCCACAGAGCGATGTGGGGAGACTTTGTGGGGCAACGGAAATGTTCTATATTTTGATGGGAGTGGCAGTTACATGGGTGTACAGATCTGCTGAAAATTCACAAAGTTAGTACATGCCATTGCATAGGATTATACTTTATATAATTACCAGGATCTTCCTGCTGTCTGAAACAGCATCATCGTCTACACTACAGCAAGCTCTTCCCTTTGAGAACTCACTAGGAAAACCTCATTTTGTTATGAATTGGCACACACATGTAAGTTTCCAGCTAAGTGGAAAGGATATGATGTCAGTTACAAAGTCTCCTTCACCACCCCCACTGTGTAAGCCACAAATACTGTTCCCTTGACAGTACGGCCAAAAGGAAGTTTGCTTTGTACCTTCTTATATTATCCTGGTTGCAACAGTGCCAGTCTAGTTTAAATGAAAGGCCATAAATGTAGACAGACTAGTTCCACAGATTGCAACAATTTTATAAAATGGTCATAAAGAAGACTCAGATTATAGGAAGCCTGGCCAGCTGCTCATGGTCCGCATTATGCAAGGTCAAAGCTCATGGACTTCCCACAAAACGAATTCTAAGCCTTCATCCCCATGGAGTCGAATGGAACCCCAGGGCTCTTGGAACAGTTTGAAAATCAGTAAATCCTAAACCCAGAAAAAGATGCAGAGAGATACGCAGAAGGCTGATGATGGCAGTTTTCCCTCTTTTTCTATGAGAGGCAGGGGGTGCCAAGGAATGGAAGGCAAAATAAAAATAGCCAGACTGTACAGATTAGATCTATACAGACTGTAAGATTAGATCTATAACGTTATCATATGTCGATAGAAGTAAACGTGGATATAATCAAGTCCGAGGTGGTAACGGGAGCAAATAAAAACAGATTTAATGAGGGCATGGAGAATTTACAGTGTTCCTGTTATTTTGATATTATTTTTGCAACAAAACAATGTCTTTAAAAAGGAAAAAAAAAAAAAACAAGCGGATGAGTGTCTTCCCTCAGCCACAGGTCATCCGCCCACTCTTCGAAGGCTGGGGAAGGAGAGCAGCCCCGCCACCCAGGGACCGACCGGTCAGAAGCCTGTGCCGCCTGGACCGTGGCTGTAGCTCAGAAGGCACGGGTCTCAGGGGCCCAGTTCTCCCCTCGGTTCTACTCCATTTGCAGCAGGTGATGGGAGGATATAAGCACCAGTTGCATGCAAGTCCACTGCCATAAAAAAATAAAATAAAAAGGGAAAAAATAGTCCAATCTTTTCATTCTGCAGTTGAGGAAACAGGGTCCAGATGGACGCGGCTCGCGTACAAGCCCTCGCGGGCTTGAGCTGCAATACTCAGTCGACCTTTTCCTGACGGAGGAGTCGCGGACTGCAGCAACCACAGAGCCTCCCTCTGCCGAGAAGCTGCATTCGTTCTATCTTGCCGTTCTGAAAGCATTACTTGTACTAGCTACGGGGACAGATCTTACGATAAGCTTTAGAAGAAAAAGCATTGGGGCAATTCAACAAACTTTTATCAACCAACTTATAATTCAAAAATCTGTGCCAACAGAGCCGAGTAGAACAATGGCTGCTCTTAAAGAGTTTACAATGCAGCGACAAAGGCAGACATAAACAACTCTTATTGGAAGGTAGAATGAAAGCAAGCTCGGGCAAATAACTCCAACTTGGGACCCTGAGGAACAGGTGGTGGACCAGCGGCATGGTGCTAGTCCCCAAGTGGCATGGCCGCTGCATCGCACGACTCCAGGAGGTGGCCTCAAAGGTGGTGCAGCTGGCAGAGAAGGGGCAGAGGCCGCCCAGGCTGAGGGCCAGCATGAGCAACGGCAGGGAAGGCCTTACGAAACGTTCAGAGAAAGGTGGACTATCCGGCCTGGCTCCACGCGCGGGGCAGTCAGAGTAGAGAGAATCCGGGTCAGGGCCGTAGCCCAGGCCAGGTTGGGGAGGGCTCTCAGCCCAAGCCGCGGATGAGAAACGCAGGGAACTGGGGAAGAAAAGAGACTACAGGCAACTTAAGGTCTGACTGAGAAGAGGCCTGAACCGGGCAGCAGAAAGGAAAGCCACCGTGGGGACCAGTAACGAGAGACACTGCAGAGGCCTTGGCAAAACGGTCTGCCACCTTCTGACTGGTCACCTGCTTGAAGGTAGTACGAGAGTCAAAATGCTGATCACACGGCTCCGTGGCTTTAACAGTTTTGTGTATCTCAGAATAAACTACAGCACACGCATTCCCGTGCTCGGTACCTTCACTTTCCCAGGCCTGGAGCTGATCTTGATCCCGCGTAGCGCTGCCCAGCACTTCCCGAGGGATAGGCTCCATCCGCGCATCCACCTTCTCCAGCTGAGAGAACTGGTGGACTCCTTCGGTGGCCTTCTGGAAAAAGATGCTCAGCTCCTCGAAGTCCATGGCCTGGAGCTCCGCACAGAGCTCCGCCCGCTGGGCCTCTTCCAGCTCATCCCAGAACCGCAGCAGGTGCTCCTGCCCAGCCCGGGCCAGCCTGAGCTTGAGATCGCTGGGTGCTCTGCTCATGGCGCTCCGCTAGCCACGCTTTGTGGGAACAGCCGCGCCGTTTCTGCAGCTGCAAACCGACAAGAGAAAAGGGATCGATAGCAGGTCAAAGTTCAGCCTCAAAACCCAATGGGTTTTTTCCTGCTAAAAATAAGCGCATTAAAAAACCAGTTGTTCAGATATGGCCTTCTGCTTTCCAGCACAGTGTTCGTAAGGCGGCACTAACAAGCTTACATGCCAGGCACGGCACTGAACACCCACGTGGCTCATTCGATTTCGACAGCTCTGCGACACACTGCAACCGGCACCCTCTCTCTGAGTCGGCAGGGCTGGGGCGCGAAACCAGGCAGTCTGGCTCAGGGCTCACATGCGACCGCATCTGGTGACCTCTGAACCACCCCTCTGACCACCGAGCTGCCACTGAAAGGCCACCTCGGCTTTCTATTTCAGCTGCTCTCCTTCTGTCTAACAAACGTGACTGTTGTCTTCAGAACACATCGAAGTTGGAGAAGACAGGACCACCTATTATCTGAAAAACACATTTCATTTTCATAGCAATCTGCAGAGAAGTGATAAATATATGTCCACTATCTTTACCAAAAATTGGTCCCCAAATGGACAAAAAAATGCAGAACAGCCAATGGTGAAAGTGTTTTTAAGAGCATTCCGTGATAACATAGCAAAAAGCTGACGTGTGTAGTACTAGAGAGGGAATCCTTAATCTACTGGCCTAATATAGACAATGACAGCGTTCACAAAGGAAGCACAGATTGCTGTGCTCAGGCCTGAGCAGACCCAGGGACAGATGAGGAAACGGGCACAGCGGTGGCCGCCAGGAGCAGGCAGGTGTGGGACCCCAGCAGGGAGCGAGGGGAGGTTCTATGGAGAGGGCAGGGCGAACCAGGAGGAGCCGTGGAAGCCAGCAGGTTTCAAACAGGTAGTGTCGCCGTGCTTGAGAGATGAGAAATGAGCAGCGGCATCGAACAGACTGCAGATGGGACCCTGGGAGCAGGAAGTGGGTTAAGACGACTGCGGGTACCATGAAGCAAAGGTGTGAAGCGGACCGGCTGCCGAGGAGACAAGAGCGAACGGGACAGTCATCGCTGTGCTATGACTGCTCAGTGCAGCCACGAGGGACGGGGGAAAGTCAGTGGCACACCAACGCAGCCCGCGTTCCTCCCGCCGCAGGAAGGCGAGAGGGGACGTCCACGTCAGCTCCAAGCAGGACAGCACGTGCCTCCTTCAGACGGCACACACCCAGCGCCATGCACAGACACACTGCGGCGGCACAGCTTGAGCCTCAAAATGACGTCACACGCTGTCACTGGTATCTTTACAGAGAAAGAACTGAGCCACAGAGGTAGCTTGCCCGAGGCCCCAAACCAGCCGAGCGACAGGGCCAGTATTCAAACCTCGACAGACTCTTAAATTCACGCTCTTAACCGCTAGGCGTTCTACCTCTCAGAAAAAGAGGCCCGTATATCTCCACGCGTGTGCGTGTGTGCGTGTGCACGTGTGCAAGAGAGAGGGGGTGAGAGACAGAGGAGAGACACGTAATTCCTGTTGCATTTACTTAGAAATAGACACAACTGACGTTTTTATGGCTGACTCGGTTTGCAAAAATGCCAACACACTCGGGTGAGGAACCTCACAGGACGAACAAGGACTTCATTGTAAAAAGCATCGTTACTTCTTTATTCTATACTAGGCATGACAAGCGAATCAGAAATTTCTTAGAATTTTAACGTGTTGACTCAAAAATAAATTTGGGAAAGATAATATCATCCAATAGACACAGACACATAAATCCTATTTTTTCTTTTAAGTAGATGCCCCCCTCACACTGGTGACAAAACTGGCTCCATAATTCTTCTTATAAAATCAATTTTTAATTATACTAGCACATAAGACTGAGTGTGTTATATCCCTAACTTTTATTTTGCTTTGCTATTTAGATGTACTTCTGGGGCAGAATACTACTTCAAGTGTGAAATGAATGAAATCACCTGTAAAACACGCTTCATGAGTTATCAGTGATTTTACAACCAGGTGAAGGCTTCTGTGCGAAATGAAAATGAAAGCTTGCTGACTATCAGAATGGGAGGCAGCTCCGCCCTGCTGTGATCCAAGGCCCTCACCTCTCCCTCCACGTACTTCCTTGAGCCTTTTCTATCTCGAGATCCAGTCACCCTCAGAGCCTCCCGCACGCACTCCGGCCTGAAGTGAGTCCTTATGGGTTTGGGAATCAAACAGGACTGACTTTTACTCTGCTTGAGCCAAGTAGCAGATACTTTCAACTTTGGTATCTTCATCTGTAAAATGGGAATAATGAAATTTTCTCACAGGGTCAGAAGCATAAATAAAATAATTCTTATGACCATGAAAAAATGAGGCTCAAAGAGGCTAAGTAATTTGCCCAAGGCCACTTACCTAGTCGGTAGAAAAATAGGAATTTTAATCTAGATAAACCTGACTCTGAAAAACCTTTCCCCTATCCTATCCAACAATCTCGCTCACAAAAGCAGAGGGAACACTGGGACTCAATTCAAGGTCTTTCCTAAAAGAGAGGCAGTACACCTGGTGCAGCACCCAGCACTGGGCTCTGGGGTCCGACGGCCGGGGTTCCGCTCCCTGCTCCACTACCGCCTAATTCTGTGACCTCGGGCACGATATTTAATCTTCCTGTACCTCAATTTTTCTCACTGATCAAATAAGGATAAAGACACCTCTCTGAGGTTAAGAGAGTTAATGAGTCAGCGTAACGAAAAGCGTTTAAGACAGAACTGGCACCTGGAAGCCCTCTATGAGTGTGACCGGCTGCTACGTTGTCCACGCAGAGTGTGTGCTGCAGACCCTGAGCTAGCCCCGGGGACAGGAGGAGAGCGACTACTGGACTTGGGCGCTAGGGGAAGGAAAGAAGCTTGCCAAGCAAACAAGAACTAAGAGGGAAACCCAGTCAGTGGGAACAGTGTGAAAATGGTTCAAGTAAATAAGTGTAATCAAGGAACAGGCATAGTGTTGGGATACGGGTGGCGAATGGCCGTGGATGAGGCTGAATGTTTTATCCATGCCACTATTTCTGTTGAATAAATCACGGGCCCACGGCCACCCTCTTACTTACATATGTGGATAGGTTACAGCTAAAAGTTGCTTTTTGATATAGAAATATACATTAGGAGACAATTTAAGAAGGAAAACTTCAACTTTTGTGTACTATTAATTCATTCACTCAACAAACATTTAATGAGCACTTAGTGTCTGCCAGGTGCTTATCTAGGTGACAGAGACAGCACTGATCAAAGTGGCAACGTGTACGGTCACACCACAGTAGAGGAGAGAAACAATTATATAAAATGGCAGACAGCGCGACAGGACAAGCGCCATCAAGTAAAACAGCTAAACAAGGGTGACACTGTAGCTGGGGTGGGCAGGCAAGGCCTCTGTGACATTTGCAAACACATGTGAATGAGGTCAGTACCTGGGGGAGGAGCATTCCAGGCAGAGGGAGCTGCAGGCGCAGAGGTTCCACGACAGGCAGGAGCTTGGCCAGTCAAGGAAGAGCACAAAGGCTGCAGTGGGGTGACCAAGGCCGAGAGTGCTCGGAAATGAGCTGAGACGTGAGCAGAGGCCACACCGAGCAGGGCCTTCTGCTCAAGGTAAGGGCTACGGGGTCTGGAAACCACGGGGGAACCTGGAGCAGGGGAAGCATCGCGCCTGATATAGGTTTAAGGACCACTCTGCTGCTGGGCGGAGAAAAGACTAATGAAGGCCCAAGTGGAGCCAGCGGACTGTTAGGGACAGCTGGACAGGCCACATGAGAAATGACAGTGGCTCAGAGCAATGGTGAAGGTGGGTGCTTAAGGTGCACCTAGAGGACTAGGTCGTGGACTGAGTGTGGAGTCAAGCAAAGATGACTGCGAGCCGTGGTCCCCTGTCCTGAGGTGGGACGTTCAGGACAGGGACATGGGGGGAAATCCATCTCCACTTTTGGTCACGTTAAGTCTTGGATGCATATTAGACATCCAAACAGAAACGCTGACGAGATGGCAGAATGCAGTTGTCCAGAGTTCAGAGGTCATCAGTGCACATGACATTAAGTTAAGGACACAATGAGACCCCCTGGGGAGTGCAGACAGATACAGAAGCAAAGAAGCCAGCAGACTGAGCCTGGGACTCATTAGGGCTTTAAAACACATTTCTATTGATACGTGCAGGTTTCAAGAGACACGATGCCATTATTTTTTAATTTAAAAAATACATCATATTAAAAAAGGCAGCTGAGATAGGTTTATATGAAACTGGTTTCCAAGGAATGGGGTCTTTGCTAGGGTGTCACCTCCACCATCGCTCTTGCCCAGGTTGGGGGGCAAGTATTATGGCAGAAAGGAGCTTGGCAGGGAGCCAGGTAACTTGAGGAAGGGGAAGTCCTAGAGCTCTTGGGCCCATGGATCGTGGACCCTATGCCAACCAGTGCGCCTCCCTGGGCACCCACCTTCCTCACGCACCCTCAAATGCGAGTTGACGATGCAGTGCTCTGCCTCCCCAAACACACAGGCAAACATATTATCACATTTTAAGATGTCAAATTTTTCCTAAAAAGTTATTAGATACCTATCCACCTTCAGATGCTTGAGAAAAGGAATCCATGCAAATCAGACAACTCATAGATTACACTGTGACACGGGCCTGCACCACAGTCCGCGAAGGCGACAACGTCACACGGGCTTCTCTGCATCCCATGCAAACCTTCCTCAGGTAACAAGCACACCTGAGTTACAGACAAGAATGACTTCCCTGTGATGTCCGAGGCAGATGAGACCACCCCCATGCCATGCGAGGGCACTTGCAAGGGTGACGCTGTGTGACACTGAAGAGGACCGAGACGAGATTCTTCTTTCCATAACCGAAGTCTTAAAGAGCGAAGGTCCGCTGTGGGAAAATGGCCGGGCTTGGCCTGTGCCCGCGTCAAAGCCAAGGACGACCTGGCGGTCACCACGTGGTCAAGCCCACCTCGACGACTTAAATGCCCGCTTTAAGGAACTGGGGAACTCTCAAATACACCTTTACATG